TTGTGGCCTAGCACATGGTCAATTCTGGGAAATGTTCCATGCACACTAGAGAAGAATGTGTATTGATCCATTGTTGAATAGAATGCTCTGTATGTATCTATGAGGTCAAGTTGGTTGATTGTGTTGTTAAGTTCCTTTCTGGCAATGTCACGTTTCTTTCTAGTTGTTCTATCCATTTTTGAGAGTGGTGTGTTGAAATCTCCCACTATTTCTTCAATTCCATTAAGGTTTGCTTCATGTATCTTGGTGCTCTTTCGTTGGGAGCGTATATATTTATTATGGTTATGTTGTCTTGCTCAATTGACCCTTTGATAATGAGATAGTGTCCTTCTTTGTCTCTTATGCAGGTTTTTATCTTAAAGTCTATTTTGTCAGAGATTAGTATCGCAACCCCTGCTTGTTCATTGCTGGTGTTGGCTTGGTAAACTTTTTTCCATCCTTTGACTCTTAGTCTGTTTTTGTCTTTGTGTGTAAGATGTGTCTCTTGCAGGCAGCATATTGATGGATCTTGTTTTTTTATCCAATCTGCCATTCTTTGTCTCTTCACTGGTGCATTCAATCCATTGACATTCAATTTAATTATCGATAAATATGAGTTGATTACTGTCATTATGTTACTTTTTTGGCGGTGTTGTTTGTTCATTGGTTCTGCTTTCCTTCCTGTCTTGGGTTTGTGTTTTTTGAGTTGATTCTGGTTGGGTTCTTTCTAGTTTCTTTGTTCGTTTGTTCTGTTTGGGAATTTGTTTTCATGATATATTGTGGAGTGTTAACTGTCTTTGGGGTTACCTGTAGTCTACTAGCTTTTCTCTGCATTTAGGGTACTCCATTGCAACCTGTGATTTGCTTGGCATCTCCACCACCTGGGCTTCTGTTGCTGCGTTTGTCCTTTCTTTGATATTGATATGTTTATGTCCTTCAGTTGATCTCTGGGCTCTCTTGAGTTTGTTGTTGTAGTCTTGTTCCATTCTGGACTCTGCTGTCTGTTGGTTGTGTTCCAGGTGGTGTTGCCATACTTGTCAATCTCTGTTTGTCGTCTGTTCTTGTTGGTTTTCTATCCCCAGAACTCCCTTTAGGATATTTTGAAGTGCTGGGTTGGTTTTGATAAATTCCCTCAGATTCTGTTTATCCTGGAATGTTTTGATCGTGCCATAGTATTTCACTGATAGTTTTGCTGGATAGACGATTCTTGGTTGACTATTTTTTTCTTGCAGGATTTTGTATATGTCTCCCCATTGCCGCCTTGCCTGCATGGTTTGTTCTGAATAGTCAGTGCTTAATCTAATTTGTTTGCTTTATAAGTTATATTTCTTTGCTCCCTGGCCACTTTTAATATTCTTTCCTTGTCTTTGGTTTTGGAGAGCTTGATTATTATATGTCTTGGAGACTTTCTTTTGGGGTCTGTCCTTCCTGGGGTACGTTGGGCTTCTTGAATGTTTATCTTCTCGTCTTTCAAGATGTTAGGGAAGTTTTCTTTTAGAAGCTCTTCAACTATCTCCTCTGTGGACTTCTTTGATTCTTCTTGTTCCAGAATGCCAATAATTCTTACATTATTCCTCTTCATGTTATCCAGCATGAATCTTAGACTGTCTTCAGATTGTTTTATCCTTTTAGCTGTTTGCTGTTCCATCTTGGCAGTATTGAGAGATTTGTCTTCCAGTTCACTAGTTCTTGCTTCCATCTCTTCTAGTCTGTTCCTTTCCCCTTTCAGGCTATTGTCTATTTCTGATATCTTATTATTGATCACCTGGGCATCTTTTTGCAGGTTTTGAATTGTTTCCAATGCTGTGTCAATCCTATTAGATTGTTCCTGCAGTACTTTCCTTACTTCTTATTTTCCTCGACCCCTTTTTGGAGTATATGAATTTGTTTACATATCATTCTTCTGAATTCCCTCTCAGGCATATCCAGTACCTGCTCTTCCTCCTCTATAAAACCTTTGTCTGTCTCCAGCTCATTTGTATCTGCTGCTCTCTTCTGCTTTTGGACGTGTTTTGATAATGTTAATTGTTTCTTATTGGGCATGATTATTTTATTATGATTATTATCGATATGATCAGGAGATAGCCATTCCTATTGTCTGTATTGTGTATTAGGTGTGGTTAGGTCTTGTCTAGGTGGAGGCCGCAACAGGTGGGCACATGTGCCGTCCGGTGGGGGCAGGGCCGGCGGGGGTGCACGGTTCAAGGGGGGAGTGCGGTGGGCAAGTACGGTTCAATCAGGCGGGGTGCAGGCCCCTCAGTCGGGCGGGCAGAGTCCGTGTCTGATGACATCAGAAAGTTGCCATATTTCTCCTCCTCTCTGTGTCCTGGGTAAATGGTTTTCTTGCCTACTACACCTGCTGAGATTCCATACTGGGGTAGAGATCCCTCCCCCTTTTATTTTTGTCTCCTGAGGCTTTGTTTGTTCATTTCCCCTTACTGGAAGCGCAGCTCTCGGTAGGGGCTGGCTCCAGCCCCGCCCTCCAAGCTCAACAGGAGTTGGGGCTATCGCTGCACGCATTGGGGGCGAAACTTCAAAATGCCAATAATTCCTCCATAGTGTGATTTTTAAAAAAAGCGAGTTCAGGAGGTTGAAGCACTAAGTCTTATAATGGTTGTAAGGGTGTGGATCCGCTAAAGGATGGTTTCCTTTGCAAGGTCCCTCTGAGGTCCCCCTCCCTTGTCCCCGGAGCTCCCCTTACCCATGCTGTCTGGCCACAGTGGCAAACCAGAAGTCCTCTGATTTTTTTTTTTTTTAATGTTTTATTGTGATGTGATAGTTTACAGTGAAAAACATTAGTTTTACATTCATCCTCTCATATGTCGTTTCATTACCACGGTTACAATCCCCTCCATGGCATTGTGATGTTTTATCATTGATTCTATAGGGGGTTCTAGACAGATTGCTTTATTTCTTTCCATTTTACAGCTCGAATGATCTTCAGTTATACTGTGAAGCATTTGACCATGAAGCCATATTCCCCGATACTTGTGGGGCAGTGGAATACGACAACCTCTACCCCACAGGGCTGTACAAGTGGAGCAAGTACTTCTAATAGCAACCAGCTTGATTGCTCTCAACAGAAGCCTTGGGATTCATCACCAAGTGAGTGTGGAACAAATAGTGATAACAGAGTGATCAGGAGTTTGACCAAGGAGAGGGGGCTCCTAAGAAGGCCAGGTGATATGGGAAGCCATTCTGGAAGAGGTGAGCCTGAGCCAAATCTTAAAGGCTGGGTGTTAGTTACACAGGTGAGATGAAAGAGAAGCACTGCATATGAGAGAGATGAGACTTTGAGTGGAAAACTTGGCCACAATCAGGAAGGCTGAGTTTTGATCTTCTTCAGGAAACACTGGGGAGCCATAGTGGATTCTAGAGCAGGAGTATGGCTCTGTAAAGAGGAATGTGGGGTGGAATGCACCATTCTCCAGGCCACTGTATGCAAATCCACCTGTGTTCTTGAGCTCCCCAAGTTTTGTCTGGGCAAATGGATACCATGCCATGTGGCTGCCTAAACATCACAGGGTGAGCATCTAAGAAGCAGTACCCCAAGGGGGAGATCTTACTTCAGTCACAGAAGAGTTGCCCACCCAAAGCCTTTTGAGCTAAGAGGGCAGATGGACACACTTAAAACTGGAGGGCAGAGACGAGGGCTCCTCAAATTAGAGTCACTATGCTAATACCAAAGACTGAGTGGCCGGGATGAAACCCTTAGATCAGGAAGACTTCATCTCCAGCACTCCTCACCTCCTACACACCTGCTGTCTGCTGGGCTCTCACTGAGGGATGCCTGATTCTAAAGCTATGGTTTATTACTATTTAAAAAACATACTGTTTGGAAATAATTGTGGAAAATGCGTAATTTCCCACAATTCCCCTAATTCTTGAGTCACTAGGAGAGACTAGGAATCCACATGGTGGGGATGGGAGGGGCAGAACTGGAACAAGAGCCGCTTAGTCCACCTAGGAAGAGAATGATACCCCTCTCTGTTGGTCAGCTTGGCAAGTCAGTTCTCTGCTGCCCCAGGCTCCTGGAAATGTGTGCGGCAATGTTCAGGACCAACCCTGAGGTATAACTTTGTGATCTGAGAGACTGAGCCTCAGACGACCAGCCAAACAGTAAGATGAATGTAAGAAGACTCTACTACCCATGGGGCCTTTGGCATCAGTTCAGCCAAGAGCAGAAGGCACAGATGTGGGGCTGTGAACAAAGCACAGGTAGGAGGAGGACTCTGCAAGCAGATCCCTCAGCCCTGTCTCACAGGCTACTGCCAAGATGGGCATGAGCAGCTCTGGATGCAGGTGGAGGAACCGTCTCCAGGAAGGAATGATGTTCCTAAGAGGAAGGCTCTTCCTGCCCATCTGCAATCCTGGTGGGCGGGGAGGTGGGTCTGGTAATAGAGGGTGTTGGGTCATGTGGGGTGGATGATGGAGATGATGAAAACCCAGGCTGGTGCTCAACGAGTTTGGACAGGAGTGTATGTGAGCAGGGGACTGCCCATCAAATACACAGCAGTATTTAATGAAACAACATTAAGCCGCAGGAGGAGAGGGGAGAGCTGGAAGATAGGGAAAGAGATCCGCTGGGGGGTTGGACTGGGAAGGAGAGTGGATTCATTGAAACACATACTCACTCACACATGCATACCCCCCCCCATACATGTATACATACATACACAAACCCCCCTCACAATACACCCCCCCCCCATAGCACACACATACACAGAGGCTCTTCTGGCAGGTGATCCTTATCTCCCCACAGGGAGGACTTTGTGTCCATCTGGTATGACCACTGAGTTTCTGGGTTCACATAGCAGCCTGGGAGGAATACAGATGATGTTGGTTATTCATAACCTTCCCGGAGAAGCTGGGGTCATGAGGGTGTATGGGAAGTGGAGGCACAGGTATGCCTGGTGACATGACTGGCTCTGTCCCTTTGCGCAGAGCCAGGTCCCACCCCTGCCCACAGTGTCCCCTCCCTCCCACAAAAGGCCCACCCTTCCTCTTTGCCGGCCACTAACCTTCACAGGCCAGGGCTGGATGGGGGTGCCATCCTTGCCCATGCAGCAGAGGGCAGACATGTAGGCTGCAGCTTCCTTGGCCAGCAGGTCCCAGCGGGCATTGTGGCCCAGGTTGCCTGTCGGGTCAGCTGGATCCAGGATGATGGGCCTGCAATTCCCATCTAGGGTCAGTCTTATTCCTGATAATGTCTGCTATCCACCTGTAGGACCAGTTGGACTATGATTCCCCACTCTCCCAACACTCTGCAGGGGCTAGGAGCAAGGCTCAGCACATGCTCCATGCTTCAGGCACACACTTGAGGGCAGTTATAGAAAATTAAACTACACTTGGGCCAGTCTGTCTGTATCCAGGGCATTACTAATCAACCACAGACAGTGCTCATGCCTCTCCTTCAGCATGTACAGCAGGCATTATTAATCAAGCAGAGTGCTAGCTCCACTGTTTCCTTTCTGATCTATGGTAGTGGTAGTGGTGGTATGTGTTGTGACTCATAGCAAGCCTGTATACGGTTTCCGAGGCTGTAAATCTTTATGGGAGCAGAAAGCCTCATCTTTCTTCCATGGAACCGCCGATAGTTTCAAACTGCTGACTCTAAGATTAGCAGCCCGACTCGTAATCACTACACTACCAGATGTCACTAATTAGGCAACTCTTCTCAGCTGTATCAAATCACAACTTCAGAGTCTTGCTCATCACATGATTCTAAGTAGTTCATCTCACTGATTGTTGAGGTCTTCGTAAGTAGCTGGGTCTATACCCATTTCAGACATAGGCAAAAATCCCAAAGAGTAAGATATATGCTGGGTTCATAGACAGGTTTGGCAGATTAACAACTACAAATACAGGCTGCCCAGTGAAATTTTAGTTTCAAATATATGATGATTTTTTTTTTTTTTTTAGCATAAGTGTGTCCCAAGAAGTTTATGTATGGAATGTACTAGTGCTAAAAATGATTTGTTACTTATCTGAATTCAAATTTCACTTGGCAGCCCTTTTCACAGAAGACTAGGAAGCTGGCTGCCTGTCCTCGGGTATGAGATACCATATCTAGAAGGAACTAAGTCTGGGACAGAGGACCCTCCTGTCTGCTGTAGAGAAATGGTGAGTGACCCCGGGCCCGGAAAGAGTCGAAACCTGGGCTTCTTCAGCTGCAGTTCCAGGAAGTCTCCAATGGTCTTGTTCTCGGTCTTGTAGTTGGTGGTCCAGTAGATGCAGAGCTTATGGTACTGGCTGACTAGCTCCAGGACAGTACGGAAGCCCTCAGCCATGTTGAACTGAGGATCCTGTCCGCCCTGCTCCCAGGCATATACTGTCAGGAGTTCCAGCCCGTGCTGAGGGGGCAGGGAGCCTTTGCCCTTGGGCATCCTGTTGCACTAGGGCAAGAGGAGAAAGAAAAGATGTTGGCTTATCTTGGCAAAGATGAGGTTCAGGATAGGCTCTTGTGGAGTTGGAAAATCCATCCTCAAACTTTCATAGAGCCAGATGCCTCGCCAGGAATTACCCCATTACAGCCTGGGACAGTTATGACACCCCCACTGCCCTGAGAAAAACAAGAAAGTGAACAGCCCTCTTTCTGCTCCACCATCCAGGGGCCTATTCCTCAGAGGCAGAGCCCAGAGACTGCTGTGGTGGTCCCGTCCCTGTGGCGAACCTGCTGGTACCAATGTTTCACCAGTCGGATCAGACTCTTCAGCTTGGTGGGGCGGGAGATGATAAAGTCCCGCTGCAGCTCTGTGAAGCAGGTGGAGTACTCGCCTGCATTGCTGTAGCTGTGGATTAGGTCCACATAGACCTGAGGGCTGGGCCGGCCGCCGGACCCAAGCTGGCCTGGAGACAAGGAGAAATTCACCATCACTCCATTTCCCAAAGTCCCAGTGGGGCTGACTTAGAAAGGACTTTCAAGCTCTCTTATGTTGCCCACAGGGTGGCCACAGAGTACTGACAGGTGGACCACAGATGTGGGATGAGCCAGCATTAGATCCCTGGTGAGACTCTTACTCCCTTTTCCTCTCTCTCTCAACCCACCCACCTCATTACCCATCACGAGGAAAGTCTCGCTTTGGAGCTAATATGTCTGTAATGCCTCTTAATTCTTGCTATTCCTATTCTCTGACAAAGGGAACAACAACATAAGCCTCAGATTTAAAGCCTTCTGCAGTTAAGAAAGCTATATTCAGGGAGAAGTTGAAAACTTCAGTGAACTTAAAGGCATTCTGTAAGATCCAAATTCTCAGTAACTGAATAGGCTCAGATCAATTTTTGGATGAATTCTTCTCTTGCTACTTGTTCTCCAAAACTCAGGAACCAAATAAACTCAGATACAGGGATTTTTCTCACTCTGCTCTGCAAGCTCTGAACTGAATAAAGACAAACAGATTCGTGTCTGTCTGATTCAGGCCTTTATCGATGGCTAGAAGAAGTGTGCTTAGTGAATGAAATGATTGGCTATGCTTAAGGCAGTGTGGAGAAGGGGTACACATACATAAAGCTGGGAATGTGCAGAAATACTTCAATCTCTTCATTATCACATGAAGACACTGGGGCTCAGAGTTGGGGAAGCTAGTTGTGGAAAATCACCCAACATGTTAATGGAATTGCTGAAACTAGAACCCAGCTCTGGGAGCCCATATATGCCTTTGTGTGAATTAGAAAGCAGTGTTCCTTTCTAGAAATTTTGTGGTCTATCATCTACAGGAGAGTTGTGATAAACATCCACAACCACACTGCCTGTGATGTGAACAGAGGTGACCTTGTTGGGCAGTGCACAGCCTCTACAACTATGCATGGCCTCCCTTTCTCTGCCTTTTCCCTTTCTTGGTGCCTGGGCATCTCACCTAAGGCATCGAAGGCTGGTAGCACGTCAAAGTCTATGCTCTGGTCCTTTGTTGTCTGAGACATCAATGAGAAGCTCAGCACACGGGGGTTCTCCCACTTGGAGATCTCAAACTTCACCTCAAACTGCTTTTCCCGCTGGCATGCCTCCAGCTGGGCTCGAATCTCTGAGATGACCTCAGCCCGCCTGTTCCCCTGCTCGGTGAACTGTCCAAAGCAGCTGAGAAAGACCACCAGGTCAGCATCCGAGCGGCCACGCAGAGCTGTGCCTTTGGCAGAAGAGCCACCCTGGGGAGATAAGACAGGTGGTTGGTTTAACCCAAAGGTTCTGTACTTTGAGTCCTGGTCCAGCGATGTGGACTCAAGGTGTTCAGGTGGTGCTGTGGGCTAAGCATTGGGCGGCTAACCAAAAGATCAGCAGTTTGAACCCACCAGCTGCTCCATGCAAGAAAGATGTGGCCACATGCTTCTGTAAGGATTTAGTCTTGAAATCCCTATGGGGCAGTTCTACTCTGTCTTATGGGGTCGCTATGAGTCACAATTGACTCAATGACAGAAGGGATGGGATGGCTTATATCTTTGCAATAGGGGTAATCCCACCTGCTTGGCCCTGGAGAGACCACCGGCCTATAAGGCCTCCATTCCGCACAGGGCTCTGCAGACCCACTTCTGAGTTCTTTAGTGCTGCTATGACAAAAATACCACAAGTGGTAGCAGAAGAAATAAAACGTGAACTCACAAAGTTCCTAGAAACAAATGAGAACGAAAACACAACATACCAAAATCTTTGGGACACAGCAAAAGTGCTGCTGAGAGGACAATTTATTTGCAATAAATGCATACATCCAAAAGGAAGAAAGAACCAAAATTAACACAGCATCTACAACAATTAGAAACAGACCAACAGAGGGAACCTACAGCCACCAAAAGAAAAGAAATAATAAAGATTAGCGCAGAAATAAATGAGATAAAAAACAGAAAAAATATAGAAAGAATCAACAGGACAAGAAGCTGGTTCTTTGAAAGGATTAACAAAAGAAAAGAGGGAGAAGACACGAATAACACACATTAGAAACCACACGGGCGATGTCACAATGGAACCAAAGGAAATCAAAAGGATAATAACAGAATACTATGGAAAGTTGTACTCTAACAAATTTGAAAACTTAGAAGAAAGAGATGGATACATTTTTATAAAAACACAACCTACCTAAACTTTCAAAGAGTGAAGTAGAAAACCTGAACAGACCCATAACAAAAGAAGACATTGAACAGGTCATCAAAAATTCCCAACAAAAACAAGTGCAGGCCCAGACGGCTTCACTGGTGAGTTCTAGCAAACATTCAGGGAACAGCTGTCACCAGTTCTACTCAAATTATTCCAGAATATAGAGGAGGATGGAAAACTTCCTAATACATTTTATGAAATAAGCATAACCCTCATACTAAAACCAGGGAAGGATGTCACTAAGAAAGAAAACTATAGACCGATATCCATCATGAACATAGATGCAAAAATTCTCAAGCTCCTAGCCAACAGAATCCAGCAGCACATCAAAAAAATAATGCATCATGATCAAGTGGGATTCATTTCAGGG